CGGCCACCCCACGCCCCCAGCAGTCGCGCGCTGAGGACGCCGGTTCTGCAGCAGGCGCGACTCTCCAAAGTGCAGAGCACGGTCCGTCGGGTGCGTCTCTACGCACGCCTCGCCACCCTAGCTTCCCCGGATGCCGAGTTGGGAGTTGGTTTTCCGAGAAAAGAGGAGAGTTGGGCAAAAAGTCTCCGTTTGCCCCAGCGGAGAAGGTGCAAGTAGATTCAGAAGATAACGAAAGGTCCACTTCCTGGAGGGTTAAAAAAAATAAAAATAAAGAGCCACCCGGGTTGGAGATGTCCGCTTTCGAGCTGCTTCTTTCCTTTCCTTTCGCTTCGGTTTTCCTTCTCCAGGCGTGTTAAATCTGCCAGAGGAGGAGGAGGAGAAGGTGGGGGCGGAGGATGAGGGGAAGAGAAAGAGAAGTTTGCCAAGAATAAAGTTTGTGCCGAGGAGCACTGGGAGTCGGCAGTGGAGGGCACAGCGGGGTCTTGGAGAATCACAGCAGGGGCCTCGAACCCAAAAGCTTCTGCCCGGAGCTAGAGCCGACACACAGTCGCAGAGCCCGACCCCTCTTTGTTCCCGGCTCGAATTTCTCAGCCTGGCTCGCTGGCTGTCTCGCTCGCTGCTCTCCACGCCTCCTCCGGGCCGCTCTGTCAAAGCGAAGAGCTTCAGCCCTCGAGTTCTCCCGGCCGAGGGGAGGGGGACGCCCAGAGCTTGGCTGTTTGCAGGGCTTCGGACGCGTCCCGGCTCTTCTGCCGGAGCGCCCACAGCCTGGGTCCCTCCTCCGAGCCCTGCCCCGCAGGTGAGCCGCCGCGCTTCCCCACCGCTTCTCCTCCTCCCGCGCCCAGCCGGCGCTGAAAAGCTACCCATTTGCGTCGCTTCTCCTCCCCCTCCCTTCCCCCGCCTCCAGCTCTCCTTGGCTGCCCGCTGGGGGGGAGGAGGGGGACCGCGAGTTGGAGGTGGTGATTGAAGACTTTTTTTTTTTTCTTTTCCCAGAGCCTGTAGGACGAGTCCTAGTTTTGGGGTGTGTGTGCGCGCGCGCTCCTGGAGGGAAGGATCAGGCAATTGGGCGAGGGAAGGAGGGACCGGGCGCTTCTTGTAACCCACTGAGAGGCACGCTTTGCCTGCGTGAAATTGACAAGAAACTGCCCAAACGGTTTAACTTCATCATCTAAGTATCTCTTCTCTTGTCGACTCCCCACCTTCCTCTGCCAGCCTCACCCCCTCCTCCTTTCCGCCTCCCTTTCCACCCCCACCCCCAGCTTCGGTAAGGGGAGGAAGATGAAAGAGAAGCCGCGGCAGCTGCGATCGACACCACATTGATAGATGCTCTGACCCGGCGGACGAGGCGGGAATCGGGGACCGAGAGGAGGAAAACATAACAGGCGTTGCTCAACTAATCAGAGAGAATGGAAAGGGCAAGGAAGAGACTTGTGGCTTTCCTAAATATGTGGAGGGACAAGGGAGCACATGCTAGCAAAAATAAAATTTCCAGGCTTACCAAGAATAAGAAGAGGACCTGAGTTATCGCTTTTTAAACAAGATCTATTACAGCCTCACCATGCAATGCACATAGACAGGTATGCCAGGTCTTCCTGGATTTGGGGAGATACATGCCACAATGTGTGGCAACCTCATAGAGGATGCAAAAAAACAAAATAAAACAAAAGCAAAAAACAAAAAACACAAAACAAAAACCCAAGGAGGGGGAAGAGAAGGCGAAAGGACCCAAGAGATCGGGGCCAGGAGAGGGAGAAAGGATCTGGCAGTCTTTGGCACCTCTGACTGCGGGCTCAAAGGGACCCTTGAAGATGCAAATCCAAATCCAACCTCAAAAATTCCCCAGCCTCCACCATCTCTTTGATGCATTTTATACAAGGACAGGACTTAAGGAGGTGTTTTGTGAAAGTTACAGTATAAGCAAAGCTGAAGTTTGAAAACACATTACATGTAGTTCCTTGGCTCTCAAGCCCTTTCAGTTAAAAAATCCAGGCAAAATTATTATACCCAATACAGTAGCCATCTGTAAAACCTCAGAACAGTAAACAAGGGGCAGGAAGAAATGTGTCTCCATCTCCCTTAAATTGAAAATAAGGAAAACACTACAGAATCAGACTTTAGCTCTATCATACTGGAACAATGAGGCAAAGATCCCTCTTTTCCTAAGGGGGAATTGCATGCTGCTGGACACTGATAAGTAAAGACCTTAATAATGCTCTAAATGAGCACCTAAAACCTCACATACTGATAACTACTTCCTAGAGATGGAAATTTTCTAGGAAGCAATTTTTAAAACTATCATTTGAAGGGTTCAGTAGGTCACACAGAGCATGGCCAGTAGTCACAGGTAAATTCTTTCTGGGGGGATTGGGGCTGGTGACCGCTAGGAAGAGTAAAACATTAAATCCAATTTACATAGCTGACAATGCTATACCTTAGGGAAGAAAAATATAAAGAATATTCTGCTGCAGCAGGCTATATGGCAATACTGAAAAGGTTGGAAAGAAACCAATTTTATTTGATTGTTGGTCATATGCAACTTCCCTTGGGTTATGCACCAGTGGGAGTGTAATGTCCTAGAAATGTGAACATGTAGCTATGTTTGCATTTATACCCTCTGTTCTAAAAGAAATATAGGGAAACAAAGTCTAAAGTCCTCCCACAAATGTGCCAAATTGCCGACAGAAAAAGAACTGGAAAATGCAGTTTCACCAAAGCAGCTAGAGTAAAAGTTCCTTTCATCAAACTCGAGGAGGGGGAGGGGGCACACAGCATGCCAGAAGGTAGTTTCTGGAAGCCAAAGAAAGATTAAATAAGGACTCCTACATCTCCCATTTAAGTGTTGCAACTCATTCGAATTCCATTTTCTCCTTCATGTTAATTATCTGGACCCCCTGAGTCATTTGGAGCTCAACTCCAGGTGTCCTGGACGTTAGGCGCTAGAGAAGATGGGAATTTTTGGAACAATAACTAGTGGCAACTATTTACTAGAAGGGCCAAGGGTAGGCGTCTGCCTTTAGTGCTTGGCCATAACCCTCTCCTTTGGAAACACTGTTTCCAACGAAATCACCCAACACCAGGTTCTGTTTGCGTGACTGTTTTCCCTCCCCGTGGCGTGCGGAGTGTTGGGTTGACTGTCCTTAGCATTGTTGCAAATGTTCTTTAAAGGAGCTTTATAAGAAAACATTCACCCAGGTTTTTTAAAGCTTTGTCTGGGAAGGAGGTTGACATTTCCACGTGAAATCTGTCTCTACGGGTAAGTGGGCGACGCAAGAGGGGCGAAGTAACTCTGAGATGATCCTTCCTCCCTACAGGTTCGGTGAAGATCCAGGCAAAGGCATTTCTGTCGCCAGGAGGTCTCTTAATTCGTGTGGGGGCTTCTATTAACATAAGCAGCCGCCTCTTGGGATGCACGGTCGGGGTTGTGGTTGGGTGCGGTGCGGGAGAAACTCCGCCGCCCGCCGCCCCCTTCCCTCGGATGTAGAGGCGGGTGGTTCGTGTGAACTCGAGCGAGCGACTGGAGGTTGGCTGTTGCAGGTTCACTCCTTCAGGATGTGGGTTTCAGGGGGCGTTTTGATGTGATTTAATTCCGACCGTGAAACAATTGCTAGGGGCTGGCTGGATTGCTGTTGGTTTTTCCCCTCTTGGTGGCTTCGGTTGGTTGGGGTTCAGTTTGGGATTGAACAGTGACTTGTTTTATATCAACACTTCCTTCTGAGTCGGGCGCCGCCGGCGCGGCTGCTCGTGGGGGGGCGAGGCGCCCACCCCGCGCCGGAACAGAGGAGTGGGAAGCGGAGACGCGCCCCGCAGCCTACAGAGCAAACCGGGCACAGCCCCCCCGCGGGTGCCTGCGGGGGAACTGGGAGAATGACCCCTACC